GTTATACTTAAAATTCTAGCGATACGCTTTTATTCTAGCGCGGTTGTTTTGAAACGCAAGTGAAGCGAATCATAGTGAATTTCAACCCTGCTTTTGGCTTGCAAAATCGTCGGCGGGGCTTGAAACGGTTTTCCACGTTTTTCTCGGAAAGGAACGGATCTTGTATGCAAAAGAAGAGCGATTTTGATTGTTCGAGCCTTGCCGCACTTTGGTCGATATTTGCATGGAGTTGCTCTTAAATACGAATAACAAGCTTAACGAACGCTTAACACTTTACATCCTAAGATCAGAATGATTAATCTCCATACTTTCCCTTTATATTTCCACGGCTGCTGATAAGGAGACTGTTTAACAAACGAAGCTTCCTGGCTTGGTGATCATTTCCTTTATTCTCATGATCTTAGTGAAGAATTCCATTGTATTATTGCAGGGAGAAATTAGATTCTGGTCACTCTTGGAGGTTAAAGGATTAAGGAGAGTCTATGAATTTTGGCTGAGGGAGTTTTCAAGTCTCGTACCCAGACCTTCAATGGCCAATCGGTTTTAACCGTCAGTTATATGGTAGGATCTGGGTAAGAGATTAGGGGTTCTCAAACACGGTTTTCTTTTGTTACACTAGAGCTTAAATAAGTTAAGAACCATTTCAACATATATGAATCTTTGATATTTCCATTTGAGTAGTAACTTGCCCTCTGTTTTTGGAAGAATTTAAGATAAGACATGAAGTTGAAGGAAGAGGTGGGCTGAGAGCCGCGCCACCGGATCCTCCTCCTGATCACGGTGATATTTTGAAGCCCGTCTGGTTACGTGATGCCGCACAGGGACAAAAAAGGGAGAAGTGTTCCCTGACGGTTTTAATGGGGTAACTGTTGGCTGTAAAACGGCCAAAAATTTAGCCGTAAGCTGCAAAAGAAAAGTTAAACGTGGGGGAAATTTGAGGTAAACACAATGAATATATTTAACCGATAGCCGTAAATTGGAAAAAATTTAGCCGTGAGCCGTAAAAGTCATCACCCCATTAAAGACCGTCTTCTGTCAACAACATGACACACTCTCCGCTTTTAATCTTAGAGAGTTCAACCGTTTAACTGCCGGATCAAATTTGTAATTCTCTTTACTGTCAACCATACAATTCTTATAATGTTAGTTCAGAGAATTTATTATTGGATGAACTTATTATCCCAAAATTGATATTTTTCTTTATTCTCATCACTTATCTGGTTGATATTGCATTGATATTGTAATAGAGATTAAATGACAACAAGTTAGATAATGTTATGGAGCTTGTCTTAGGTCACTGTTATTCTACATTACAATGCGACAAAGTTAAAGATCAATTCTGGAATAGTAAAGGGCATTCTCGTTCACAGCAAAACATTGCATTTTTTTTTCTTCTGAATTAAAGTTTCTGGGTTAAAGGGCTTTTCGCAAGAGCGTGTAAAACCAAAACCAAAGTAAACACAACAACCAGTTGGTAAAATACACCTTTAAACCCCAACATCAAAATGTATATTCTCCATATCGTTCTTTGTACATAACCTGTGATATTAATAAGGAGAATTTGTTTAAAATCACGAGCTTTACTAGTTTGTGATCATTTCCTTAATTCTCATGACGTTTGTGCTTCATTCAACAGTGATACTGTTTGGAGAAATTAGCTGCCAGTCACTCTCAGAGATTTGAGGCTGATCTCATTGCTAAGTACGAAATTTATTCATATATACATCTATATATATATATATATATAATTTATTTCACAGGTAAGTGTAAATCAAAAGCTCAGAGTGTGTTTAAAATCATTTTTTTAATTTAGTCAATTTTGATGTTTTGTATGACCTGTTTGGGATTTTGTTTTCGGCATTATATTTTAAATCTCGGGTTTTCTTTTATATGATCAGTTATCAGACTGGGATATCGTTCTCATCAATAAATATAATATATCAGAATGTCTAGCTAGTATGCGTGAAGCAAGCACGCAAATGTATCTTGCGTAAAAGTGAACAACTGAAACTCTTTAAATAAGTAAGTTTTCCTTAACATCTGGAATCCGGGAATTTCTCGCTGTAAACATCTGCCGAAAGAAAACCTTGTCGAAGACACTTCCGAAAAAACTTGCTGTAGCTGTTAGACAGAGTGGTGCAATTTAAATTGAAACTCAAAATATTTTTCTTGAAAGCCATAATCGTTGCGGCGGATGACGTAGTCCCCAGTTCGGGAACAATTAGATGAAATGGCATGAGTATCTCACAATGGATCGAAAACCGAAAAAATGGTTCCTATGTAGATGGTCAATCGGCGATAAGTTAGTTGACAGAAAAGATGTTTTAGTAGTGGCATACCACACCTTAAAACAAGGGGGAGAGGGAGTCGTTGACGTTGCCCCTATGATGAATTTTCATCTGTCATTTCTTTTTAATCAGTTATTTTGGCTAAATTTCCCTCTCTTCAGTTTCGCACAGGAAAAAGCTAGGGTTATTTTGTACAGTGTTCCAATCTTTCATTGTCTTTAAAGGAATGAATATGTTGGAACGGACACGCAATTAAACAATATATTGGAGAACTTTTTTTATTGATAGCTTGACACTAAATTTCTAGAACCACTTAAAATGCAGCAACAGCTTTAATTTACCACCTAAACTAACTGAAGTGTATTCACCTTAAAGGCTTTTAAAACAATCAAAGTGCAATATTTCCACTAATATAATGTGAATTACGTCATATGCGTTAAGTGGATCCAAGAGCGATCATCTTCCCGGGTATTTGCACTAGGCGGGGTAGAGAAGGGGAGGGAGGGGGGGAGGGGAGGACCGAAGTTTTTCCTCTTTTTGTAAGAAGAGCCTCTTACACAGATTGAGCTATTTGAGGTCACGTGAAAAGATATTGCAAGCCCTCCTCTCTCTCTCGTATGGGTCCAGGCCGGATATCACTTTGTTTGCGGAGTTTTTGCTTTTACGAGATGCTTTCTATTCCTATGTGTTCTCCTTTATGAGAACAAAGCTCGACTGAAGCTTGGATCGAGATAATCGCACTTGAATGGAATCAGTAACTTATATACACAAACCTTATTTGAGTTGTAAATACAAGAAATTAATGTAAATATTGTCAAACTTTTAATCAAAATGTTTTCAACTCTCTCACTCAAAAAATGAATCTTCCATTTCAACGGCCTACCGCTGACTCCTTAGCTCTATCTTCCATATGTCTGTTGACTGTGTAAGCCTTCGGTATTTCTGATATAAGAAACAAGAGCAAAAACAAGAAGGAAACAACAAACTGGATCGAACGAAAATAATAATAATAATAATAAAAAAGAATGATTTAACAAATAAATGTCGTAACGATGGTTAAGAGCTGTGAAAAGTCAATCTAATGCTTTCCTGGTCAATGGCAGGAAGATCTTACCATAGATGTTCTAACTATAAAAATTAAATACATGTATAAGGCGACACGTGATTTTAATTGACTTTTCTGTTCAATTATTCATCGAAATCTAGGGTTAAATACAGTTAACTTAATAAAAAGAGACCTCTTTTCAGATGGTAAAGCCTATCTCCTTAAATAACATTCTTTTCATATCCATTGTTAAATATCTCAGTATTTGCATACATTTTAAAATGCTGAGCCGCACCTCTAAAAAAGCTTTTAAATTCCGAATTCTGATAGCAAATAATCAAACGGAATATATGATTCAATGGCATTTCGATGAATACATGGTATTTTACAATGGATCAAGAACTACGAGATTGGCTCCTGAGTGGATCTACATTCGGCGATAAGGTTAGTTGACACATAACATTCACGTAATCGCTTTTAAGGATGTATCATTAAATATTTTTTTTAATGTACAGGGTTTACTACAACACCCCGTCACCCACTCAATTTTATAAAAAAAAAAGTGCAAAATCTTACAGCACTAAAGTCAATGAAATGCTGTTTTTCCATCACAGACAGAAGAAAAAAATGCAATGTTGTGCTGTGGACGAGTGGGTGAAATGCTATGAGGAATAAAACTGGTCTACTATTCCAGAATTGATCTTCAACCGTAATGTGTCAACAACTTTGTCGCTAATTGTAATGTAGAATAACATGAGCTGTTTTTCCCCTCAAGATTCTTAGTCTAATCATTATGAATATTCAAGCTCCATAACATTATCTAACTTGTTGTCATATCTAATCTCTATTAACCCTTTAACTCCCATGAGTGACCAAGACAGAATTTCTCCTTACTATATCCATACAATATCATGCAGACAAGTGATGAGAATAAAGACAAATATAAATTGTGGGATTACTAATTGATCTGATATCAAATTCTCCAAGCTAACATAATGAGAATCATTTGGCAGACAGTAAGGAGAATTACTAACAAGATCTTGAGATTTAAAGGGTTAAAATCACCTATGCGTGAACAGTTAAAGCCAAAGTTTATTATCCAGAGTTTATTTAGTACAGTTAACAAGTCACAAGGCCAAAGCGACGGTCAAAGTCACGCAAAAACTGAAATTCATTGACTTGATTTGACATAAATCTGTGGGATGCATAAAAATTTATGAAAACAAATGAAAGAGTAACTGGAAAAAGTAATTAAACTTTCTCAATGATATTCTTCCTTTTAAATCTGAAGAGAATGCAAAAGTATTACTTTTTTAGCATTTCAGATCCACCATGTACGTAGTTCAGTATTAATCTTTCAAACCAAAGAAGAGTTTAAATTCAGTTTCCTCCTCGCACACTCATTACAAAATTCAATAAAGAAATTATGATAAAATAAAAAAAGGAAAAAGTTAGCATGCAATATTAATCCAAATTATATTATCTATAGTTAATGTAAAATTAAACGCTACACAGATACACCAATTAGGAGGAAGAAAAACAAATCGAGAATCGTGACTGATGGGATTGTGCATAAAAACGATCGACAGCAAAACTCAAACGTTGTTCAAGGATCAGCCATGTACACCTTTCAAGCAAACGGTTGATAGTGAATCAATGATATTTCTTTACAATAAAGTTATGATCACCTGACCATGACCATTTGATCGATAGCAACAGTCATTTTGTTGATATTTACCAACATTATAAGATCCTCCACCGCCTCCACAAGAATTCCAGCTATGATTGCCACTGCTTCCTCCAGAGTACCCTCCTCCTCCTCCCGCACCCCCTGACCATCCATAACCACCTGCCCCTCCACCAAATCCACCATCAGCACTCTTCATCTTGGCTTTACCTCCCACCCCTCCCTGTAAGAATCCCTTACCACCCTCTCCACCAGTTCCCATGGTACCACCAAACTGCTTTGAACTTCTGCCGCTGGAGTAGAAACCTCCGCCGCCGCCACCTATCAGTGATAATAACAACAACAAAAGTAGTTGTGTCCTAAGTGGGTTCTTATTCTAGACGTTGAGGCTGTGGACTTTTTGAATTTTTTCATTATTTGATTGATAAAAACAGAGATACTTTTGTACAACAGAGCTTATTGGAAGTCGATGATAATTACTCAGACAGACTTAGTAATCAAATATATGTCGATCTAAGATTGCTCCCGCAACAACTGAGTCAATATTCTTGTAACATTCATACGTCAACCTTCATTGACTAGTTTGCACTATTAAAAAAAAAAACAACAACAACAACAACAATACTTTAAGATAAATGAACCTTTAATCGTTTGTCTTAGAGGCTAATCAATCGTGTATTAATTAGGACCTTTCGACTCCTATGCTGCAAGTCTTCATTAGCATTTATCTGTGAGCCACTTTGGGCAAGAACACAATTGGATATTTTTACACAACTTATAAACTGGGATATTGTAGCCAACTAGGTGCTTATTTTTTAGTTTCAAAATCAGTGCACTTTGGAGAAATTCAGACAAACGTCTATTCAGGAAAAAAAAAACCGAAACTGTACCGAGATTAATAATCGAATGATGTGTTCACATTCCCTATCGGGAAGAATTTAATGCATCAGAGAAAAGACAAATGATGTCAAAATGTATGATAGAAGTACCAAGTTGTAAGGTTGCATTGCGCTTGAGATAGAGAGATAAACATTTTACACTTTTTTGCGATGTTTTTGTGTAAAAACGAGGCCCCAGGCCTCGAACGGGCAGCCGTTGTTACCATTCAACAAGAGCGCAGCAGTCTTTTGAAAAGGGCGTTTTTGTACATTCCCCGAATGCCTAACTGCATGCAAGATTCAAAGGGGGTTGAAACTTTCACCTCCAAGATGTTTGATTCTTTCAGAATTGCTCTTAATCCTCACTTAAAAAATGTACATAGGCAAACAAAGAGACAACAATAACAAGACAAAAACGAAAACAAAACCATTTAATATTTAACAACGATAAATCCGTAACCTTTTTGCCATGCAGTTCATATAATTCCATTAATCACGACTTTGACAGTTTTAAGTTTTCCTTTTCTTCTGACAAGAATTAATTAATATGCGGATACCAGATTTTAATCTTTAGGTTTCGGAGACTAATGATAACATACCAAAAGAACCCACTCACCGGAATAACCACCATCAGCAATCTGTGAACCATATCCATGGTTCCCTCCTGACCATGACCCGTACCCAGGATTTCCCGAAGAACCAGCATTAGCATCACATCCTGGATGTCTTGAACTTGGATTCTGTATTCCTCCTCCACCTCCGGCTATAATCAAAGGTGTGTTGCCTCCCCTCACCACAAATGTACCTCCAGCACCGCCAGAAGAAGGGTAGTGCTTGTTAATCCCTCCTTCTTGACCAACAAGTATCTGAATGACTTCTCCCTTGCTTAAGCTGAATGTTCCAATCATTCTTGCTCCTCTTCCTCGATACTTAGCGCTGTTGGGGTGGGAATCGTATCCTCCTGCTCCTCCTATTGCTTCTATTCTGTATTCACCAGTATACGGCACAGTCCATTGTTGAATACCGCTGGACAGTGTAACTTGTCCGTCATGATCGTGACCCGAGTACCAGACTTGTTGGACCATGTGTTCCAGTTGCACCAAGGTTGGTAAAAAGAGCTTTGAAAGCTGGGAGAATAGTGTTTGTTGAGTTGCGTTCATGGATAAATTTATTTAACGATGATTGGAAATAAATTTGCAAATTAAAAAAGAGGCATGGAATGGTTAAAACCAGTGAAGTGTTCCTTAAAATTAATCATCTATTTACTTGATTTAAATGATTTTTCAATTTTTTTAACGCATTCATTTTTCTTTCACTCATTCATTCATTCATTTTCTCCTAATTGACGCGTACCCACTTGTCTCGAATGGAAATATTTTTACAGACTAAAAGAACCTGTATTTGATCGACTGAATTTTGCGATTTTTAAAGAGGTGTAATGAAATGGTGATTGAATTTCGTGTCGTGCAATTTGGGTCTGAAATTATACTTGTGATTTTAAATCAACCTCGCACTGCGCGCAAGTTCACTTTTAAACTAACGTAACGCATATGATTTGCTTAGGTATTAAAATGATTTCGAGTGCATTTTTTTTTAATAAGCACGAGTATATTTTTCAAAGACAACAAAATTGCACAGCCTGTGGGGCAAGTGCATTTTGTAGTCTTTGAAAATTACAAGTGGGGGAGGGGGGGGGGGAAGTTCATTTGTGCCTAGGATTTTCGGCCAGAATTTCATTACTTTGTCGTCGGCTTAAATTTTCAATCTTTCTAATTCAGCCAGTTTCAAAACTTAGGGCTCGTTTTTCTCTATTTCATCTCCTTCAATTGTAAGCCTCTTTGCCAAACTTTCGTCATCTCTCACTTTTTGTCGTGATTTATGTTTCCTTCACATTTTGGACTCCAGGCCTCTGTTCTTGAAAGCGTTCATCGATTGCCTTAATGTTAGTTTGATGACAGGAAATTTTATAATTATCTATTTAAGTGGTTCAGATGCTATTCTTTCTGAATAGAAAATCGATTACTTACTTGTCACTAATCGATAATTTTCTTTTGCGTTTTTTCGGTAGCCAGTTATATTTTTCACCCTTTGTCGTTAGTCGGCCTTAACCCAGTTCAGACCCTCTTACAAAACAGATCGTGAAAACGAATTAAGTAAGATATTTGTCGCTTTAGGCGACTTAAGCAAACGTTTGAAATTAGCTGGCTGCTAAATTGAAATAGCGCACGTACTGACTGAATGGTATAATAGTGGATTGTAAGGACTAGGTAGGGCGCTGTGTTATGAATGTATTTTCGCACTTTCCCCTGTTCTTACAGCTGCAGCTGACTGATCCCTTGCCATTACTGCACGCAGCTTTTCTATGAAAATCATTGAAGTTCTTTATTAACTTGTCGCGTTTAGGCAAACATCAAACATTCACACCCATCGTGGCTCTGAAATACAATTCTAGTGTGAACATTTCAAAGAAACATGAGCGGGAAGAAAGTCGATTTTTTTCTCTTTTCTTTTTTGGTGAGCATTGCTCACCAAAGTTCACGAAAAAGAAGCGTTTGGAAATTCTATTGTAACAAAATCGGTCTTGTGCGGGAAGATTATTCGGTTCCTAAGTTTGGATAGAGATTCGAGAGCGTTTCCATTAAAAGTGCACCCACCA